TATATTCAATAGTCTCAAATACATCGCTCCACTCCGCTCACTTCGCTCGGTCGCTCCGCTTCCCTCGCTACGTTCGCTCCGTTACGCTCGCAGGCATCAGCCTGCCTCCTTCCTTTGTCAATATATGAGCCATATCAACAAATCTCCACCTTGGCGAATATATCACCTCCTTAGGAGAACACAATAGCGAGCACCTCTGCGAGACACACCAAGCAGGCCGGGGGTACCATGCAACTCTAGCATTCACCGCTCACTTCGCTCGGTCGCTCCGCTTCCCTCGCTACGTTCGCTCCGTTACGCTCGCAGGCATTAGCCTGTTTCCTTCCTTTGTCAATATATGAGCCATATCAACATCATTGATACAACTTTGCTGAAAATTTGAGCAAGAAATCGAAAGTGCTCGACCGTTGCACGTATATATAATGGCATTGCATATTCCAAGCTAAAAACAAAACCCCAAAGAAAAAAAAATAAAAAAGGAAAAATCGACATGTCTAATTTTCGTACTTCATTTCTCTCGATTCTTGTATTCATCGTCTCCATATCATTAGCCTCAATCTCATTATCAACCGGTCATAAACTGAACGATAATGAAATAAAGCACTTGTGCTCGAAAACAAGCAGTTTACTAAATAGTTACAAACTCATAATATCCGATAATCGCACCACAAATCACGGCTCGAAAGGCCTTGCAAGCTATTTACTCGAGCGGGCTACTCAAAAGGCTAAGAAAATTCAAACCGAGCTCAACTCTTTCGCCAATAAGGCAACACAAGATTCTGAATTGAGAAAATACAACTTGGTCTCTAAAAAATACAACGAAATCATTCGTAACCTTGAAGCTGTGAAAAACGACATTAAATCGCAAGCATACAAGAATTTTTAGCTACTCGAATTGATTTGAGATTATTGGTATTAATTAATGAGTTGAACTCGAGTTTTAGCTACTCGAATTGAACTCTTAGCGACACGAACTATAAAAAGAATAATGAAAATTCATATTTTTAAACTTTAAAGGGACAAGCTCGGCTTGAGTAGCTCGTTAATAAAAAAACTTTAGACGACTTTGAGCTCGAGGTTGAACTTTAACCAGCAAGTTATCATATAGGATTAAATAAAAAAAATTGATCGATCAAATTATATTTATTAGTTAAAATACATACATCTTGGTTTGAGTTGAATACTCGGATTTAACTACCATTTTGTTATGGTTAAATGCTAGAAAAACAAGTTGTATGATTTGAGCACGAATAAGCCACCATCAGGGGCAAATCTGCATGTATCAATAGAGGGGCAATCGCCCCACTCAAATTTTAATTTTTGTACTATTAATGTTAATTTTTTTTTTAATTTGCCCCCTCTTAAATTAATTTTTGCAGCCCCAAATTTTTGTTTTTAAACGTCACTTACAAGGCCAACAATTGTAATTATTAGGCAACATTTTTTTTATGCATTTTGTTATCTTTTACAAATTATGTCATGTCTTTTGCCTCCTCTCAACTATATTTCTAGTTTCGCCTGGCCACCATATTTAGTTTGATATGTTGATGTTGAATAACCTATATAATTTGTTAAGGCCCGTAAAGTATGATGATTTTGCATCAGTTGATTTCTAAAATCAGTATTGATATCAACATGATATCTATTTTTGTAAAAATTAAAAAAAAAAAAAAAAAAAATGTTTTTGGTGTATATAGGCAAATTAAGAATTTTCCTTGCATAAAATGGGCCGCCCCAGCTCAATTGCTCACATGGGTAAAACTGCAAAAACTGAGTAACACATACTCAAAAAGCCCAATATCCTCATTACAATATCTACTTGGGTCAATATATTTTGCCCAGTCCATATTCTTTGGGTTTCAACTTTCATTGAGCTCAATTTTCGAGCAAGAAATCGAAAGTGCTCGACCGCTGCACGTATATATAACAGCATTGCATATTCCAAGCTAAAAACAGAACCCCAAAGAAAAAAATAAAAAAAGGAAAAATCGACATGGCTAATTTTCGTACTTCATTTCTCTTGATTCTTGTATTCATCGTCTCCATATCATTAGCCTCATCAATCTCATTATCAACCCGTCATAAACTGAACGATAATGAAATAAAGCACTTGTGCTCGAAAACAAGCAGTTTACTAAATTGTTACAAACTCATAATATCCGATAATCGCACCACAAATCACGGCTCGAAAGGTCTTGCAAGCTATTTACTCGAGAGGGCTACTCAAAAGGCTAAGAAAATCCAAACCGAGCTCAACTCTTTTGCCAATAAGGCAACACAAGATTCTGAATTGAGAAAAAAAATACAACTTGGTCTCTAAAAAATACAACGAAATCATTCGTAACCTTGAAGCTGCGAAAAACGACATTAAATCGCATGCATACAAGAATTTGCATGGTCCGGTGAAGAGCGCTTACGAAGAAACTGTGAAGAGTATTAAATTCCTCGGGGGATTTAAGGATCATCAAGCGCTCTTGCAGAAGCAGAATAAAGAGCTCGAATTTGTTCTTAGCATAGCTAAAGCTGTTGCAGATTCCCTTACCAAGAAGTAGAAGAAGAAGAAATGTACTTTGGGAAATCATGTTTAATATACATTAATCATGGTATGGAATAAATCACATTATGTGAAGAGTTTGAGGCAATTCATCCCTCATTATATATTAATGCAAACTTTTCGAAACCGATGTATCAACTTTTGGTGCTTCGTTGCGTCGTAAATCTAAACGCAAGTATGATATTTCCGAGTAGTTAGATTTACTCAAACTTTTATTTATTCAGACTTTTAAAAAATTACAGAAAATACTTGCGTAACTTAAATTGTAAACATATTTTTTTATTTGTTGCATGGTTATTTCAACTAATGTAATATAATACGGGTAAGTAAAACAATTGAGGAACATAATTTTAAACATAAATAATAATGCAAATTTTTAAAAGATTATTTGAAATTCAAATAATAAGTATAAATTTCTCCTCTAGTTAATAACAAATAACTAGTTTTTGGCCCGTGCATTTGCACGGAAAGCTATATGATAGAAGAGAATAAAGTAAAAAAAATAAATATAAAAATAATAACATAATCA